GTTGACCTAGTATTTAGTTATTTTGTGTTTTCGACATTAAGACAGTCCGTTGCAGAAGATCCACTCCACCCTGAACAAAGGTCACAAAGTTCAAGTCTATTCCTGCTCCTTCATTTTGAAATAGGAGGTTTGACATAGGGAGTGGTTTCTACAGAATATTTGGTCTATGGTGTATTTGCTGCATATCCTGCCCCAAACAAAAATGTTTTATCAGGAAATAATGACTTGATATCTCAAGGATTGAAACAAGTAACTCTTCTGGCTGTCCTTTGTGTCATGTTAAAGCAGTCTCTTGCCCTCTACCCCCTTTATTTGTAGTGTCTTAATGACAGTGTTCTTTGCATTACAGAAACTTCTCAGATTCAGAAGGTCCCATTTATTCATTGCTCCTTTTACTGTCTGTGCTACTGGGGTTATATGTAGGAAGTGGTCTCCTGTACCCATGTGTTGCAGACTACTTCCCACTTTCTCTTTTGTCAGGTTCAGTGTGGTCAGATTTATATTGAGGTCCTTAATCCATTCGGACTAGAGTTTTATGCATGGTGATACATATGCATCTATTTTCATTCTTCTACAGGTTGACATCTAGTTATGCCAGTACCCTTTGTTAAAGATGCTTTCTTTCTTCCATTTTATAATTTTAGATTCATGGTAAAAATAAAAACACAAAACATACAGAATAAAGAAAGACTATTAAGAGCTGCAAATAAAAAAGGTCAAGTATCATTGGGCATCACTTGGTCATATTTCCAAGGGTGGAATTGCTGGATCCTGACATAGGTTGACTTCCAGTTTCCCGATAAACCGCCACACTGATTTCCAAAGTGGTTGTACAATTTTGCATTCCCACCATCAATGGGTGAGTATTCTCCTTACTCCATATCCTCTCCAGCATAGGTTACCATTGGAGCTTTAGATTTTAGTCATTCTGGCAGGTGAAAGATGGTTTCTCAAAGTTGTTTTGATTTGCATTTCCCTGATTGCCAAGGAAGTTGAACATGACCTTGAGTATCTTTTGGCCATTTGTACTTCTTCTGTTGAGAATTCTCTGTTCAGTTCAGTACCCAATTTTTAATTGGGTTACTCAGAATTTTCATTTCTACTTTCTTGAGTTTTTATATATTTTGGAGATCAGGCCTTTGTCTGATGTGGGGTTGGTGAAAATCTTCCATTCATTAGGTTGCCTTTTGTCTCAATGACAGCATTTTTTGATTTAAAGAAGCTTCTCAGTTTCAGGAGGTCCCATTTTTCATTGATGCTCTTATTGTCTGTGCTACTGGGGTTATATGTAGGAAGTGATCTCCTGTGCCCATGTGTTGCAGTCTATCCCAGTTTCTCTTCTATCAGGTTCTGTGTGGTCATATTATATTGAGGTCTTTAATCCATTTGGACTTGAGTTTTGTGCCAAATGTAGCACGAATAAGAATAATATAGAGACATATATTGGGCTTCATTCTGAAGATCAGAAAAGTAAAGCAGCCAATTCACTAGAGAGCTCTTAACTAAGAAATACTCAGACTAAAGGAGAGTGAGTTCTTGTCTCAGTCTACTTTATATTCTTCCCTAGGTCTGGAATTAAAAGTGTGAGCCACTACCAAATGGATCTGTTTCAGCATTTATTTTGTGTAGCCCAGGGTAGTCTTGAACTCACAGATATCCATCAGCCTCTGTCTCCCAAATCCTGGGATTAAAGGTGTATAATAACACTGCCTTACCTCTAGTGGATTAGTTTTATCATGTCTTCAGAAAAGCTTTATTTATAAAACAATTTATAAAATATCACTATAGGTTAATGTACTGTTTTTCCCACACAGAATGGTTGATGGTCAAACACCCCTGTTAAGTATCACATATCCAGACATGATCAAGAATGTATTTGTGGAGGAATCTTATTCTGTCTTCAAATAC